AGGTGAGTATAGACTGGTTGTCACTTGGGGTACTCCCTAGAATCATCCAGGAAGCTTAAAAATACACATACTGTGACCTGCTTCCAGCCCTGCAATTCTGCTTCAGTTGGCTTGTGGTAGTGCCTGTGCACCAGGGGTTTAAACAAGCTCTCCTACATGTGCAAGTGTACAACTCAGCTGCCAAGGTTGTCCCTGGGTTAGGAGCAGCCCTGCTCACAGTGGGGGCAGGTCTACGGGTCTCAGCTTAGGCCCACCACACTGCCAGAGCACCCTGTAGGTTAGAAGCCTGGATGCACTGTCCTGTAGTTCCTTATTTATTACTTTCCCTTCTAATTTCTTTCTTATTGAATAAATGTCTTTCCACTACATTTTAAGCATGTAGCTGAGGCCACCTCTGTTCTCTTTACTGCTGAATTCTAGCTATCAGAAAGTAGACATTCCATGTTTTCTGAACAAATGCATCCACTGGACCATGATGTGGAGGAAAAGGCTCAGGGCAAAGGGCCACTGTGGTGGCTTGGGAGTTCATACCTACTCTGCCAGGACTGTGCCCGTTCGTGGCTGTGCAGGAGTGTGAACATGTTCTGCTCTACCTACGGATGCACCGAATGACATTCACAGAAGAGTCCATGGAATTGTAGCTGCCAGGCAAAGTGGTTTGCAGTATAAGGTGATAGCAGTATTGAGTGTTTCTTGTATAAATCAGGCATAGTTATTTTGTTTGTAGTTGAAAGTCGTTTGAACTTCAAAATTACTTAATTATAAAATTCTGGTTTGTTTCTAAATGAGGGGTAGAAAAGAAAGGAGCCTTTTCATGTGGCTACTGAAAGGAATTCATCTCCTTGAGGAACCACCACAATCTGCATGTAGGTTTTTGTATCTAAACTCTAAGATAAATTTCGATTCTAGCAAGAAATCTGTCGTTTCATCAGCCTCTGTCCATCTCTGTGCCACCAAGTTCCGGTCCTTATCACATAGCTTGTCTTAGAATTCTGTCTGCCACATCTGTGTTCAAATAAAATAACTTATAGACCCTGAAATGTGAATACCGAATAATTTTTCACCCACTCAAAAATATTTTTCTTCTTCTGATTATTTTTTCTGAACATTTTAAAATAAAAAAAAAAACCTTTTTTTTTTTCTCTTTAGTACTGGGGATTAAATCCAGTGGTGCTTTACTATGAAACCATATCTCCAACCCTTTTTAAAAATTTTATTTTGAGATAAGTTGCTCAGGCTTGCAACTTGAACTTGCCATCCTCCGGTCTCATCCTCCCATATAGCTGGGGTTACAGGCGTGGGCTACCATGTAAAAACCGTTATTAACAGTGGGTGAGGAAAAACAACAGGTCTGCGGCTCTATTTGGCCCATGGGCCATAGTTTGGCACCTCTTGATATAAGCTGTGGAAAATAGGAGGAGATAGCCTGGGGAACCCGGTAAGATACAGTCCCCAGAACTAGGTGTTAGGCCCAGGTGACATGGCCTTGCAGTGTGGGGAGCAATGTTGGAGCTGAGGACCACCTGTCAGGGTGGAAGACACCAGATGCCTTCTGTCACAGGCTGCTCCTTGTGATATGCAGAATCTAATTCTGGACAAAGGAAGATTCGAGAAGCTGCACTCACCAAACGTCCTCCACCCTAGTGTCTCCCAGGTGCTCCCTGAAGTCCTTGTCTTTGTCCTTATTGATGCAGACTCTAGCTTCTTGTAGTTATCTGGTGAAATGCTTACTTTCCCCAAGCCTGCAAATGAATCCTGTGTGGGACCACAACTACAACCTCACATTGTCACAGATCAGCATTCTCTGAGGTTTCAGTGAAAATGCAGTTCTGCTCAAAAGAAATCTGGGCAAAAAAACCAAACCAAAACAAAAAACCCCTCCACAAAACAACAACAAAAATCCAATCATTGTTTCTCGTATCACAAGGCACAATCATAATTTCAGATATTTGGATTGTCTATCTAGGCTAATTTCCATATTGTTTAAATCAAAGTCTTCATTGGCACAAACAAAAAGATGAACGATTATGAAAAAGGTCCTTATTTCAGAAACTGAAGAAAATCCTCCAGATCTTAGAATCCGGATACATTTTTCTAGCCATGAATATACTTGGCAAATGTTTTAATGGGGCTTACTCTGTGGCAGGTGGTGTTCTAAGCAATATGTAAGTATTAATTTACTTAATCCAATAAACAAATCTTTAAAGACAGTGTGTAGCATCCTTGATAAAGAAACAGAGACAGAGTATATGTTAAAGTAACTAGACCAGTATCTTCAAACTGGTGAATGGGTCAAACTGGGATTTGAACTTCAACTATTCATTCCCAGATTCTGTTTTCCCAACCACTATCCTATGCCACTTCTTCAATATATAACAACAACAACAACAACAATCTTTCCTGAAAATGCTGACATATGCATGGTGTACAAATAATTAAGAAGATATTTTAATGAAAACACTGTGATTAGTGTGAAAATTCTTGAAAGTGACGTCCTTGCAGGTGACTAAAGTATCCAATTAAATGACTGACTACCTTCCAGTATAAGTCTCAGCAGACTTGTTGATCATCTTATCAGCACATCACCCAATATTTCCACCGCTGGCTTTGAGATGTTTTTCTAGCAATGCCACTATCAGAATCTTGGTAGGGATCAGTTGCGCGGCACATTTGCAACAATCATATTAATAATTCATCAGATTTTTTTTTCAATTGATGTAAAAGTTCTTATTGTAAAATTATTTCAAATTTGCTACATTTCTATAATATGAGCGAAGACAGTGAAATAATCGTGTGATTTTTATCAAAGACAAATTTGATTCTATTCAAACATAAGATTTCTGATCCAGATGCCTGTTCTCAGAAGAATACTAATAACGTTTCAACCATCACATGCTTAGTTTTCATCAGTTGAAAAAGTTCCCCTGTCATGACATTTTCCAAAGACACTAAATCAAAACAATGCCATCGCAATTTTCTATGACACTTTTTCCAAAATGAGGGGGCAGAATATTTCTCCATGAGAATCTCTGAATTTTAATCAGAATTGAAGAGGAAGATAAAAATGTGAACGGTTGCATTCTAAAACCAAAAGAGAAAATTGCTAATAATGCTAAACATTCATTGTGATGTGGATTTTAGTGAAACCCTAAGGAATGAGAATCGAAACCTACCTTGAGAATGCATATTTTGAAAAGCCTTTAGCAATTTTGCTTTATTTGGAAAACAACAACAACAAACAAAAACTTATTGTAAGATCCTAAAAAGGATGATCCGGGTGTTCTAGACCAGAAAGAGTACCCGAGTCTGAAAGAATGCAGCAAAGAGTCTTGGCAGATAACAAAGAAGAATGAAGTGTGGGTGATTTGAGGATTAATGGGGCCTTTTCTGTTCAAAAGAAAACATTGCAGGTATGAGATGATGTTTGATAAGGTAATAATCGCTTACTATAGTCAAACTCAAAGTACTTCAGCCAGAAACTACTGAGCACCAGGGAAGCGCTATTAGGCATTGTTAGAGCAATTGATCGCTTCCGTCATTATTTGTATGGCTGGAATTTCACAGTCAGAACTTCTCATGCTGCATTATGAGGCCGGCTGAAATTCACAAATTTGGAAGGACAAATAGGCTGGATGGTTACAAAACCGTAAGGCTCTTATTTCCGAATTGAACATTTACAGAGAGAAGGAAAAAAAAAAATCAATGCACATACATTATCTACACAGCTGTTTGGGAATAATTGTGTACAGCTGACATTAAGGGTGAAGAAAAGAAACAGTCTGTTGGTTGGTGTTTTGTAACAACCAAAGGTTTCTGGCTGGAGGGTGGAAAACACTCCTATTTCCCTGACAGAAAATTACAAAATGGTCCATTCATTCATTCAACAAATACTTAGTTGAGTGTTTACTATGTGCCAGACAAAAGTTTAGGTACAAAGCATGCACCATTGAATAAGCCAAATCACAGAGCCCAGGAGGGTCCAGCAAAGCCATAAAAACTTATTATTTTGTGAAAGCTGGATTGACTCTGTGTACATTTTGTCAACATGCCTTTTATGTAGCAGAGGTATCTAACTATATTCCCACTATTAAACACTCTTGAAAATCATGTAAATTCAAACTTTAATTAAAATTTCTTTTGCATGAAAGCAACATTGGTTTATTTCTTTTTTTTTAATTTTTATTTTTTATTTTTTTTTAATTTTTTTATTTTTTTTTATTGGTTGTTCACAACATTACAAAGCTCTTGACATATCATATTTCATACATTAGATTGAAGTGGGTTATGAACTCCCAATTTTACCCCAAATGCAGATTGCAGAATCACGTGGGTTATACATCCACAATTTTACATAATGCCCAATTAGTAACTGTTGTATTCTGCTACCTTTCCTATCCCCTACTATCCCCCCTCCCCTCCCCTCCCCTCCCTTCTTCTCTCTCTACCCCATCTACTGTAATTCATTACTCTCCTTGTTTATTTTCCCATTTCCCTCACAATATAATAGTTAACACTTGCACAATCCAAAAATCTCATTCATCAAATTTTTAAAGAATATTTAGGTCACTGTACATGATCAACCAAATGAAAACTAGTTACCACAAAGATGAGGTTTAGCCTCAACAACCTAGAAGAGTTGCAGTTTTGAGGAAAACACAATGAAACTTCACATAGTTCCGCTGGACGTCATCTTATCGTAAACAGCATGTCCAAGGAATCTACATTTAAAAATATATTTCTCATATACTGAGTTCTAGATGATTACAAGGCTGCTCGGATGCACCGGGAAAATATTCTGATAGTTTTCTATAAAGAACTAGTTCTAAAAATCAAATAAAAATTTTGAGACATTTCACACAGTGTTTAGCACATGCACGGAGAGAGCTGAAGCAAATACGTCACTGCAGTGTGAGCAGTTTTTGCTGTCTATGGGATTTATTCTGATACTTTCTTAAAATGTTATTATCAAAACTCCTCAAGACCCTCTAATTCTTTTTCAGGATGCAGCGGAGGGTTCCACTCCCCTGAGAACATCATGAGGCACTTGGCTGCTTGTCTGAAGGGCTGTGTTCATGACCCTCTGCAGGATCCCTCCTTGGTCAGGATGCAGCTCCAACAGGAGCCGTCTACACCTAGTTCTCTTCAGGAGCAATAAGAACTTGCAAAAGTGAATGGCACCCTTGGGCCTGACCAGTTCCTCGTTTGCTTTGGGTCTGTGAGCTCCTGGGACTTCCTCCCAGCTGTGAAGGGGCTTGTTATCCTGGAAAAAGGACACTGTAGATCTAGGGAAGCTTTTGCTAGCAAGATGGCTCTCCCAGAAACACAAGTCTCTCATTTCCTTGGGCTTTTCTTCTCTCCTCTTTCACAACTTCCCCTGCTGCCCTGCCCAGCTTCCAGAAAAACAAAGCTTGCCATCATATTGCAGAAGAACTTCATCACTTATCTTTGTACTTCAGTGCCCAGTGCTCAATGAATATACAGTAGATGTTTGTTGAATGAATAAATGACAATTTATTGATTTTTTTTTGTCATCAAACTATTGCAGACCTTAGTGATCTCAGATCTTCATCATATTCTGCACAAACTGATTGGATATTGATCCTTGGCTATTGCTTCAGGTTTAAAAGAAAAACACGTTTTGAAACTATGATATGCAGCTGTAAAGCAGCAAAACAGGTACTAGAAGTCATACATAAATAGCAGTCTCATTATTTTATAACCATCCTTCACAAGTGAAAATTTTGAAATAATTGAGTTGCAGTCAGATTTGAACACATGCTTCAAGCAACATAACTTGCTTGTGACTATAAAACTAATAGTTCCAACTGAAAATGTTGGAAAGAAACAGGTTGGCCTATTGAAGGCTTGAAAATAACATTTGATTTCAATTCTGTTAAAACTTTACCTGGTTTGATCCTCTATCTTAACCTTCAAGTTCTATTTGTTAGTGCACTTTATCCCTGTGTCCTCTGAGAAGCTAACTCATCACAGAAACCTGTCGTGTAAGTAAGGTTCTACGCAGTTTATTTAATTCCACAAGATTCTATTGAAGGATTTCTCTTCTAACTGTGATAGTGTTATGATCAGGGAGCTAGGATATTTATAAACAATATTTTTGTTTCCTATTCATTTATTTCCCTCTCCTTCCTTCTCCTCTTCCTCCTCCTTTTTTTTTTTTTTTTTTTTGGTAGTACTGGAATCACTACTTAGCTACATCCCAACCGTTTCTATTTTTAATTTTGAGAGGCCCAAGCCTCCCAAGTTATTGGGATTGAGAGATGAAAACAAGAGGAATTAAATACAACCTGTGCTAAAGAAAGTTCACAAGAATTTGGTTGTCAGTATGTCCCTGGGCTTACAGAATGGCCCAAGCCCCAGTTAACCACCAACCCATCTCCCTGGAAGAGACACTAGGAGTGGGAAACAAGTCACTGGCTTCCTCAGCCTGAGTGTGCTGTGGAAGGGGGTAGGGAACATACTTCCCATCCACCCCCAGCCCAAATGGAGGAGGCTTGGAGACAATCTTGTAGAGACTGGGGATGTCCACAGTAGGATGTCCACAACTCCATGGCTGAGTTGTCAATATCCACCCTGGAGCTACTATTGAAGCAGAATGGGGTGTACTGAAGGAGTACTTGGGGAAACCTAAAGGTATCATGAGCCGTCAGTGGGCTACGTGTGGATTGTTGCTAACTGGGAACTCCCCATGGTTCTGACCACCTGAGGCGGGTGAACTTCCCCCTCCAGCTCTGCCAAAGATCCCACACTGCACCTGAGATGGGTGTGCACCTGCCAAGATGTCAATCAACCTGCTGACTGCAAGACACCATGAAGCAAGACTCTGCCCTTAACACCTTACCCTTGCCTTTGATATATCCCCTTAAGTAAACCTCTAGAGCCATTTTGTCTTTGTCTAGTTCCAGAACCCATGAGGACTACATCTATCAGGGGCTTCGTATTCTGTAAATGTATTTTGGGTATCCGTGCTTTGTTATTTGCTAATTATCTGAGATGGTAAATTTTAGGTGGCTTGGATGGTCCTGGGTAGAAGGAACCCCCCCCCCAGTGAGATACTGGCCATCTTCCCCCTGAAATAAAGGTGAAGGTTGGACTTAATCGAAGGAGTTAGTGTTACTTTACTTCAAGAAGTGGGGAGAGTAGTTGTTAGGTCAGTTTGAGGTGGCTGAGGAACGAACAAAGCACCAAGCAACCCCGAGTGTATGCAAGAACCACCAATCCGGTGCCATCAGAACCACCTGTCAATCAGTGGGGTCTCCTGACCAATCCTGGATCTCAGCAAGCTCTTGCGACCAACCCCAGTAGGACAAGGGACTCTAAAATCCTCCCTTTCCTGTCCCAAGTCCTCCCTTCCTGCCCTAAACCCAATAAAAATTCCAATCTGGCTGAGCCTGCGTGCGACTCCCCTGACCTGCTCTGTTGGTCTGGAGGGTGTCACCTGGGAGCGAATCTCAATAAAGTCTTGTTCAGCAGCTTTTAATCTGCCCCCTTTTGGTCACCAGTGCCTGACCAGTCCCAGTGTGCAAACCTGGGACTGAAAGGATGAGAGAAAATCCACCCATCTTCCTAGAGATCCGTGAAGGATACGGAGAATATCGAGGAGGATCTGAATGTTTCCCATGGTTCCAGGAAGGAGTGGGAAGTTGGAGAAGGGCCTAGGGCAGAGGTGGACCATGGTGGCAGCTGCATCCAGCTAAGCAATGCCTTGCAGAGGTGACTGAAGTCACGGATTACTGGTGGAGGAACCCCTCTTTGTGATGGTCCTTAGAGACAGAAGAGCTGAGGCGAAGCTGACATCACCCCAGGAAAACCATTTCTCATATCAGCACAGGAAGCGACATATAAAATCAGTTCAAATGAGAATGAGGTCTGAGATCCTCCTTACCATGGGGCCACTCTCCCATTTGAGAAGCTGCCCTTGAGGGAGGACTATAGATGTTTCAGAGTCACATCAAGCTGACACTGAAAATGGGGCAAGAAATGAAATTTAAAGCACCTTTGAGATAGACTTGAAACTGGATTGTGCTGCAGTCTGGCTGGGCACAAATCATGAGCCACTCAAACAGGAACAAACTTTATTTCTGAACTCCCTGGAACGCCACCCATGCGGCCCTTCCAAGAACACCACACACACCAATGGGAACTCCCCTCACTGGAACTTCACCAACCAACCCGAATCCCCAGGAATCCCCAAGAGAACTCCAAAGTATGGGTGGGGGGGGGCAGGAGGCGGACGGCAGGGGTCTATATACAATTGAATACACAGCCTGTTTCAATTCAGGATCATCCAGTCACAGCAATTATAGACAACTTAATTATCATCATCTTAATGGCTCACCTCTCAACCACTACTTCTGGCAAAATGCCAGGGGCCATTCTGTGGCTCTCAGCAGGATTGGACTTTTGATAATCAAGTGATTGGAAGTTATAAAGTTTGCACAAGATACTGTTGAGGAACAGGGGAGGGAATTAAATGCAGCACAGCTACCAATGGAAGAGGGAAGATATGAAAGTATTTTATAACCCTACTAAGAATCTTTAACAAATTGCAGGCCCTCCCAGGAGACACACATGAGTAAGCTGCTCATCTTCAGGGAATGGCTAGGTCTGGACAAGGATCTTGTTAGCAAGGACAGCACTAGTCTAAGACCATAGGCTCTCTCCCTCCTCCTCACCCACCTGTCCATCATGTGGTCTTCTATGAACATGACTCTCAGCATCTTCCCAAGAAGAACAAGAAACCCTAGACCAGGAAAATGAGGCGTTAGATCAAATTAAGTTAGGCTGAATTTAAAAGGGCTGCTGACAATGTGTCTGGAGCCAGAATCTTCTGTTCACTCGATTAACTTTTCAGCCTGTTCCCACCCCCTCATTATTATTATTAGAGCTTTATGGTTATCCATAGTAGTTGGGTTCAACCCGACTCAGTTTTCTCTTGAATATGTATCTATTTTCCTAAATAAATCTGCCTATGCCTCAGAAAAACAAAACAAAACTTACTTGATATTACAGATAACAATTTGTTCAAAATAATAGTGTGTTAGGTTATGTCTGCCTATCAAGAGGTGACTGGATAAAGAAAATGTGGAATATTTACTCAATGGAGTATTATTCAGCCAAAAAGAATAATGAACTCATGTCATTTGTAGGAAAATGGGTGGGAACTAAAGGATATCATGTTGAGCAAAATAAGTCAGACACAGAAAAACAAGTACTGTATGTTTCCTGTCATAGGCAGAAACAAACAAACAAACAAAAAAGACCTGAAGTAGAAAAATAGAAGAGGGACTATTAGGGATTGGGAAAGGGCTTGGGGTAGAGAGTAGGACAAGACAGGAAGTGAGAGATGGGAGAAGTAGGGGCACATGGGACATAGTCAATGCACAATATATACATACATGGAAATATCACAGTGAGACTTATTAATTCATATCATTAATATTTGCTAATAAAAGTAAAGAGTATAAAAGAAGAGAAAGTGAGCTTGGTCTAGCTGTAAAGTTATGTAAATTATAAACCCTCTGGCGTCTGAAAATATGGTCTTTCTAACAAATAGCACTGCAACAAGTGGAGATCAACATGCAAAATGTGGTATAGATGGAGATCTTACAGTCTTCACAAAAATGAACTCAAGATAGATCTAAAGATAAATATAAAACACAAAACTATAGAACTAGAAGGTAACACAGTAGAAAACCCAGATGACCTTAGATAAGGAGATAATAAATACAACGAGGCAAGGCACCGAAGATAGCAGGAAACAGTTTTATTTGGCTGCAGCCAGGCTCAGAGGGCATAGCTTTTGCTGTAATCAATTAATCTCCTGAACCCCGAGTTCAGGTAGTTTCAGAATTTTGTACCCAGCATATAAGGGGAGGGGCTCAGAAGTTCACAGTCTGCAGAAGTTCACATAAAAGCAGTTTTTTTTTCTTTCACTGTTCTGGGCAAGTTAACCCTTCAGGGACAACACTTGAGAAGAAGAGAGCTTCTTCTCCCCTTTCTTTCCTCCCCCTGCCAGCTGTTACCATGGAGCCCAACTGGTAACATTTTTATCTTAGAAATGTAGACATCTCTGTGAAGCTCCAGCTCAAAGCCAGAGGCCTTGTTTACACATTTCTACAAACTACTATACTGGATACATGTTTTTAAAAAAACTAGTAAGGGGGTGTCCAGCACCTGGAATGCTGATTTCTTCCAGGCCAGCAGCCAAGTAAAGTAGGGAAACACAAAAATAGGAAGTTTGTCTACATTGAACTCTTTTGTAGAGACTCTTGCTGACAGTCTTAAAATCAGCCATGGTGAAGATTTCTGGAGAAACCCAGTTAAGATTTTCTGTGGAGAAAGGGGGTGCCACTACAAAAGAATTGATAAGCTGTACTTCATCAACATTAAAAACTTCTGTTCTGCAAAAGACAAGGTTAAGAGAATGAGAAGAAAAGTCACAAACTGGAGAAAATACTTGCAAAAGGTACATTTGATAAAGAACTCTTATTCAAAGTG